TGTCTGATTGTGCTTTTAGCTGGATAATGTAACAAAGGTAACATTGTTCAGCATGGCTGGGTTGCACCTAATAAATGATGCTAATGGTACAAAACTAACAATAGCTTTCTACTATCCAAGAGCGATGCAAGGCAGGGGCATCCAGCTAGCTAACTGTAGCTAAGCTAAGCTGGGATTGTTCAGCTGGCTGTAGAGCCTGTAGAAGTCCATGAGTCACTCTCCTCAGCTGAACAGTGAAATTCAGACACATTTGAGCTGTGAGTAAAACCTGAGCTCTCACTACAGTTGGTCCTCTCTCTGCAACACCAGAACAAACAAACCAGAACTACAGTGAACATCCTAAAATCAAATTCAGTTCTGAGTTTAAATTCTACTGTGCTCCTTTTGTCAGTTTTCCACAGTTTCATTACTGGTTATTAAAAATAAAATCAATTCACTCATTTGGGAGGAAAAACCCATCTGATTAGAAACGTAACCTGATTTCTCTGAGTGTCTTTGTTCATGTAAACGTCGTCAGTGAGTGGGTGAGATGATGGAGGAGGAGATGAGAGCAGAGTGAGGTTCTGTGTGTTGTTTCACTGATTCCACCTGTTCGCACAATCAGCACAACTGATTGATTAACAGGGTTTTGTGCAGTTGAATTGTGATCGGGTATAGATCAGTGTGTTTCTGATCAAAACATTCCTGCAGAAAGCTGAGAGAGATGAAAACAGAGAGAGAGTCAGAGGGTTGAGAGATGAGATGCTGCGTGGTTCATTTTCTGCAGTTTCCATGACAACAGCAGGACCAGGATGCTTCGTGTCTGTTCAGAGAGAAACACTAAATATATAAATGTGTTTCTACCCAGACGCACACAGACAGACAGCCAGGGTTCCCTGCTGGGTTCTCTCTGAGGTTCCACTCAGAACAGCTGGTAAATCATCATAAATCTCTCAGATAGATCCATGAGATGAAATATTAATGTGTTCAAATTCACAGGAACTCTTCCTGTGGTGCCGGTTAAATGAGGAAAGACTGATGTGTGTATCAGGTCTTTAATGTCTCTTAGGTAGCAGAATATACAGCAATTAGAGAGTCTTCAAACAGTATTTCTGTGGATGAATTTGTCAAATCTGAAAAATCAAAAAAACTAAACATATCCATTGAAAACCAATAAATATTAATTTATTATTCCAAACCTTATTTTTTATTATTATTCAGAGTCACTCATTAATTTACAGCCACACAGACTTGCTGGCCTTGAATTAGGACTTGCTGGTCTTGACTTTGGGGGGAGGGATTTATTAATTTGTACATTTGAAAAACCTCAAGACTGGATTCAGGGGTTGTAGAGCCTCGTCCAGGATCCTCCACATGGTACAGGTTCACAACCCTGTTAGACCTTCAGTCTAACTGTCGTTCTCTCTCATCAGTCCAGACGGGTGCTACCTCGCAGCCGGATCGGCAGACGGCGCTGTTTACATCTGGAACGTCTCCACTGGCAACCTGGAGACCCGCCTGCCTGACAAACACAGGTGACAGACCACAGATATTGAACAGCGGAGGATTTTAGTTAATTTCCCAGGTTTAATAGAAGGATCAGAGGCCCCAGGATGCTTCCCTGAGGGATTCCAGGAGTTATTGGAGACAAACAACAAGAATATTTACTACATTTCCTACTAATTTAACTCTATGTTCAGGTCCAGGTTTATTTGTGTCTGTATAGCAGCCTTTAAACTGTTCTTACCACAAACAGAGTGTCTTGGTAAGGTCTAATAGAAAGAACAGTGGCCCCAGGATGCTTCCCTGAGGGACTCCATGTGTTACTGAAGTCAGAGAACAAAAAGATTATCCTTCAATAAATGTTGTACAGTTTCTTTAATAATCCCTCCCTCTGTCACTCCCTCTGTCTTCAGTTCATCCATCAGTGCTGTCTCCTGGTCACTGTCCGGTGAATACGTCGTCAGTGTGGATAAAAGCAGGCTGGCCGTCCTCTGGACTGACATCTGAAGCAGCCAATCTATAAAGAAGTGTCCCGGCAACAAACTAACTGATCTGAGCGCTGCCAAAAGGAACCTTTTTTAAGCTATTTGTTGATTGGACCAAAAGGGATGTGAAACGTTCTTCTCAAGTGCCTTTTTTGCATTTTATAACATAACTTTGGAGCATTAATACAGACAAAAAAAAGGGAAAACCGACAGTTTCCACCAACATTAAGTTTTATTGACAGTAAAGACAAAAGGAAACCAGCAACCAAGACATTCCTGTAATGTTTGAAACATAAAGAACAACTTTATTATGAGACCAATGTGTTTTAGCTCATCAGTCATCATACAGGACATAATATATACTGGAATATTTAACAAAAAGGTTAAAAAATATAAAAACACATCCAGTCATACATAGAGTACATAGATCATAGAGTAAGGAGTGAGACGCCATATTCAGTCTTTACCTAAATGCTCCTATTTTGTTGGTCCGTCCAGGAAGTTGTGATGTTGCCAATCCCAGTGCATTCAGCTCGACCTTGTAATTTAATCCAATCAGCAAAACTTTTGACGTCACCAAACTATTAGGGGAGCAAATCTTTCTTTTGAACCTGAAACCTGTTGGTCTCACAGTATAGTTTTTCTTTTTATTTTGACCTTTTCAGACTTTTTGGATTCTTTATTCAGCTTTGGAAGAAGCCTGAAATCCTCAAGTGATACCAGCTGATTTTTTCACTTGTTTTAGGAAAAGTAAAAATTACAGACAAAAGATGAGGCATTTGCAGAGGTCAGATGCAGCTGTGCAGCTCTCGGCGGTGGATTTACATTTAAAAGGCGCCCTGCGTTAATCCTCTGTTTGCCTCCTCGGCTTTGAAGACTGAAGTCAGCGGCTTCAAAGAGAAAAGTCGGCGGCCGGAGGCTCTGATGGAGCCTGAACACATCGGCATGAGACTGATTTACATCCAGCTTTATGATCTGATCTGACCTCTGCCATCTTTATGTTAAACTGATCATTTAGTGACAGTAATCAACGAGGCCACCAGACCTCAACATGAAGCTGCTTCCACTTCATTACCAATAACTGAATGATTATTGGAGCCAACTACAGACTGTACTCAAGACAGTTGAGACAAAACCTAGTTGAAAGAGGTTCTAGTCCAAGTCAACAACACAAAGTATAAAGTCAAAGCTAACTTTACTGCATAAGTTGTGAAAGATATTGTGCTTTTAGCTAGATGTTAGCTAATGTTAGCTTGTCCTTTTTTATGATCGGTTCCAGAAAACATCAACTGTCCTGGTTCATTGAGCACTTTTATAAAAATATTTCTGTTGATGGTTGTTTCCTCTCAAACAACTGACTCCATTACATCTGATGTTTTTTATTGGAAACCAAACTTTTTCTTTTTCATGTTTTCTGTGTTATTTATTTGTTCAAAGTATTTCTTGTTTAAAAGGGAACATTTGTTAGCATGAAAGGAAGAGCTCGGGATTGATGAAGAGATAGAAACAAAATATTAATTAATAAGAGAGTCAAAGTGCTGCTGCTGTCAGATCAGCCTGAGAGTCCAAACTAAGGGAATAAAACTGCAGTACAGGACAGAACATATTTAATTGTTTATTAATACAGTTAACAAATAACAACTGTAATCACATGAAATATGTCTTCATAATTTATATGGATTCTAAAGTATTTATTATATTTTATTGTTTCCCCAAAATAAATAAGAAATGTTCTCGTGTTAGCTTGCTTGTTAACACTGACAAACTGCTAGCGAGCAATGTTGTTGGCTAACTGACTAATAGTGCTTTGTTAACCCCCAGCTAACGGTTGCGTTCTACTACCCAACAGCAATGCGAGGCAGCGTCCTTCGTGGCATTACAGATATAGTAATAGTTATAAATATGATTGTCATTCATTTTTCAGCATTCAGTGTTCATTTCAGCGTTGAGTCTCGTGTGTACAGTGTTTGTGTGTTAATGTCTGGAGGGGGTCTTTAAGTTATCTCACCTGCTCACCAACATAAATGCTCCGACTGGTTGTAAAAAAAGTGGAAAACATTACGATTTATTAAATATAATATTGAAGTAATGTTGTTCTGTCAGCGGGGGATGAAAAGGTGTTTTAATATCTCTCTAATGTTTCCACTCTGCTGTCTTTATTTCTAATAAACTCTGGTTTCTAACCTCCCGTCCTTCATCCTGTCGTCTCTCTTTATTTATCGGAACTGTTGAAGTCTCGTCATCGGGTTTTAAAAATACGAGGTGACGATGAGGAAGCTGCAGGCTGTTTCACACTGAGGTCATTAATGAGGAAACAGGAAGCAGCTGCTGCCTCCGACCTGATCGGTTTGATCTGGACCTATAGATCAATAATAAAAGCAGATCATAACAGCTGTAAGTTCCCACTCTTTACTCTGTATCATCAATCTTCATTCATGAGAAACAACATACTTGGACATACGAGTGTAATCAACAGTCAAAAACAGACAGAAGAAGTTTAATAGAGTTGAATAAATTATTATGAAATATTTGAAACGGGCAAATCTTTTTTTTAAGCATTTAAATATTTTATATTTAAAAATAACTGCCACTAGATGTCGCTCTAGAGCACAAAAACAACCAGCGCTACGGCCCACCAGAAACCATTTTACCTCGCAGATAATAATGAAACCACAACAAAATGGACAGAAACAGAATAAAACTGATTAAAACCGTCTCTGTTAGTTTTCCTAACAATCACCAACTCTGGTTTGGTCGAAATAAATCCTGAATTTTGTGAGAATATTTGTGAAAAGGGCTAAAATCGCTGTTATATAAGCTAATGTTAATCCTTGGGATCCATCCACTAACAGTTGTTGTTTCAGGGTCAGCCCTATGTTGCCACATTTCTAAGATTTCTTTTTTCACTGAAAATTAGGCCCCATGTTCCCACATTTCTAGGATATTTTCAAAATTAGGTCTTGTGTTCCTACATTGGGAGGGGGCTCTGGCACAAGGTTACTGTGATTTGTAAAAACATTTTTCTGTCTTTTATAATAAACAAAATCAGTTAAGAGGTATCCCTACTAAAGTAAAGAGACAAGCTATGTAAAGTAAAAAATAAAAATAATTAAGAGAATTAAAATAATAAAATGAATAAAATGATCAAAGAAATTAATGAAAATAAATGTTTTAATTAAAAGGGACAGGATTGGTTCGACCACACAGGAGGGCAGTGGGAGATCTGTCCCCAGCTAGTATGGTATCAACCCCACATGTTAAAAGGGGGGGGGGCACACCTCCAAGATTGCCTAAAGGTGGCTAAGATAAATGAAAAAAAATTTAAAAAAATATTAAATAAATTAATAAATAAATATAAATATATACTTAACAAATTAAGATAAAATTGAAAATTTAATATATATAAAAAAAAAAACATAGGATAAGCAAACATCAACAGTCATACTAACCTAAATATAAGAGTAAATATGAGCGGGCAAACACATTAACCTCCCAGGGAGTCTTTATAAAACTGATAAAAAGATAAGTAAAAGGGGTTAGGGTTAGGCAATAGGTTAGGTTAATTGGCTACCAAATTGGGA